GTGTGTTCTCTACGGTTAACAGTCTGTTTCCTGGTTTGCTTCTCTCTCTCTCTTTTTTTCCCTTTGCTCATCTGTTTTGTTTCTTAAATGGTATGTATTTGTCTTTCTCTGACTGACTTATTTCACTTAGCGTAATACTCTCCAGCTCCATCCATGTCGTTGCAAATGGTAAGATTTTGTAGAACTGGTAAACCATTAAGACAACTCTAAGTTCTTCTCACTCTTACAGAAGGATTTCTACCTTTATTCAAATATATAGTTATCCTTGGTGAAGTAAAACTTAAACTAGAAGCTCAGAGAACTGAGAAAATTGACACAAAAAAGATCTCAGGCTTTTTTTTTTTTTGAAGATAAATTCTTGAAGATAATTTTAAATGGACAATTTTCAGACTACTATGCCAATAAATACTATAGTACTTTCTTGATCATTGACATATGAAGACATGGACACTGTACCTTCCTACTATATATTCTTTTTAAAAAGATTTTATTTATTCATTTGAGAGAGAGAGAGACAGAGAGAGCACAAGCAGGGGGAGAGGCAGAAGGAGAAGGAGAAGCAGACTCCCCGCTGAGCTGGGAGCCCAACAAGGGGCTTGATCCCAGGACCTGGAGATCATGACCTGAGCCAAAGGCAGAGGCTTAACCATCTGAGCCACCCAGGTGCCCCCCCTACTATATATTTTAATACATGTATAAATGCTAACAGTGTGATTCAAAATTGTGTATAACATAATACACTATATATATAAAAATTTTATAATTTTTAAAAATCACACTATTACCAAATTCTCCCTTTTCTTGGTTTAAGTTACTGAAGTCAATTAGAAGTGGTAGAGGGGTGCCTGGGTGGCTTAGGCAGTTGAGTGTCTGACTTTTGGTTTTGGCTCAGGCCGTGATCTCAGGGGCATGGGATCGAGCCCTGCAACAAGTTCGGCTTTGGGCTCCGTGCTCAGCCCCGGATTTGCTTGGGATTCTTTCCCTCTCCTTTCCCTCCCCTTCTCCTTCTCCCCCTGCATGCGCTCTCTCTCTCAAATAAATAAATATATAAAATCTTAAAAAAAGAAGTGGTAGATTACTGGGGTGCCCTCCTGGCTCAGTCTATGTCTATGGAGTGTGTGACTCTTATCTCAGGGTCATGAGTCTGAGCCCCACATTGGGTGTAGAGGTTACTTAAAAATAAAATCTTAAGAAAAGTGGTAGAATACTAAAGCTAGAATTAAAGGCAAGCTAGTGTCTAGCAATGGATAAGGGTCATATTTTACAATGTTTTTCTCAGATCTAAGATAAAAGGAACAACTTCTTTAACAAGTAGAGATTGGACCACCAAGAAGAAACAGTGAATACTTTTATTTAGTAAAAGACTGCCTCTCTCTACTGATAAGAAACAAAGACAGCTGGTAATGTAATTTTCAAAGGGGAATGTGTGTTTGTGTGTGTGTGTGTATGTGTGTGAGAGAGAGAGAGAGAGAGAGAGGGAGAAGGAGAGAGAGACAGTGAGCATGTTTGGGAGGGCAGTTAGTGGCTCATCTTTACTTCTCTTTGTAATTTCTAAGCCTCAGAAATCATCCCATTATTATTCCTAGTAACCTGGAAATAAATTACTAGATATCTATCAATTCAAAATCACTTGATATGGCCTTAGTGGTATTTTTTTCAAACATATTTTTGTTTGTTTTAGGGGGAAAACTGTTTTGCTTTCACAGAACACAATTTAACAGCAAGTGAGTGACTTCAGAGATGCCCTGCCTCAAATGTGGTTTTGATGGGGCACCCAAATTCTGGAGCAGATTTCTAGAGGTCCATGTGGCGGTACATATCAAAAGCCATACAAATGTAAATGTCCTTTAACAGGGCAGTTGTGTGTTTAGGCGTTTCTCTTGTAGAAAGAATAGGAGATGTTTATAAAGGTGTACAAAGGATGTTAGTCACAAAGCTGGATATAATAGTGAAAGATTTGAAATGACTTTAATTCAGAATTGTCTTGGTAAATCTGGTACAGCCAGAGACGAGAATACTACCCAGCCATTTAAAAAATTACTCTGTAGAGGAATATTTAAACACACAAAAATATTTTTATTACAGTTCTAAGGGAAAAAAGGGGTCATAAAACGGTAATGTGATTTTATTCCTGTTTGGTTTAAAGGAAGGGAATCTGAATTCACACACATACGCACGCCCCCTGAGAGAAAGACAGAAAGTATATGAAGCATATTTTTTGTAGTGGTTCTCTTTGAGTGGTGGGATTATGGGTAATTTTTTTTCTCTGTATTCTCTGCTTTCCAAAATTTCCTTGAGGAGCATATATTACCTCTGTAATTTAAAAAAAGGACAACTCAAAGAAACAGTCTTCATTCAGTCTTTAGTCTCACTGTCCTATTTCTCAAATATCCCTTACACCAAATTGGTATTTTCTGATATCCATAAGCAAAGCTTCAAAGCATATATCAATATTCCACACGAGTAAGAAATTGATGACTCCTGGGGCTGGCTCCATTTAAGCATGTAAATGAGTGTTGTTATGAACATCCGTGTCTACTAGCCTGACCTTTCTGGAAGTGGGCACCGGTGTGATATTGTTTAAAAGGTGTAAACATGCTCCACCTGGCCCTTCAAAGTTCTTCCCTCACAACTCAGAGATTATGGCTGATGATCTACCAACAGAGAGTCATTCCTCAGACTTATGGCTTTTCACCCTATTAAAATGCAAATAACCCAGGAGAAGTACACATTAAACTTTACCTGTCACCTGGGTTAAATAACATGTCATTTTCTGAAAAGAAGTTTTAATGGGGAAGACATGGGAATTTGGGTGGGGCAGGCAGAGAGAATAAAGGATGAATGAATACACCTGGCATCTGAGGAGTAATTAATATTCATAAGAGTGATATTTTTGTTTATGGCTTACGAGTCATTTAAAAATATGTTATCACATTTAATTTCAATGAGATCAAATAGAGTGGCAGTCACCAAGGTGACTTAAGCCGACCAGAGATTTGGACACGTACAGAAGACAAAATCCTCAGGCCTCGTCATTTTTTTAGAGGCACTCCTAGAAGCCACAATCCACTTGACTGCATACACTGCTTTCACCTGCCCCCCTTCTTTCGGCCCATCCTAAGCATGTCCAAATAACGACTGCATGCAGAGTAAGGTGAGACCCAGTCAAGAACGTAAGACAATTTCTTACTTAATACACTGTCAATGTATAACAAAAAGGACTATCACCTTCTAGGAACTTTTTTCTAAAAGACAAGAGCCAACTGGAGATACATGAAGACATCTGGTCAAATACTTTAAAATGTGAGCAAAGGGGTGCCTGGGTGGTGCGCAGTAGCGTTTGACTCTTGGTTTTGGCTCAGGTCACGATTGTAGGGTCATGGGATCGAGCCCCACATCAGGCCCCACGCTCGGCATGGAGTCTGAGATTTCCTCTCCCTCTCCCTCAGTTTGTCCCTACTGTGCACGTGTGCTCTTTCTCTCTCTCTCTCTCAAATAAATACATCTTAAAAAGAATAAAAAGTGAGTAAAGATCTTTTTCTTAACCTATGGGAAATGGAAAACAAAGGGAAGGATGAGAAAATGACAATAAAAGAAGGTGGCAGGAGAGTGAAGGGAAATCATACAGAATTACTTCCTGTCTATAAAATACATAAATTAAGTAAACGACAGTCCAGTGTAGTGGCTAGAACAGACTCTGGAACCAAGCTGGGTTTGAATCCTGTGTGACTGTGTTCCTCAGTTTCCCCATCTTTAAAATGGGTATAATAACGTATCTGCCTCAGAGGGTGCTATGAGGATTAAATTAGTTCATATTTGTAACATTGCCAGGGACAAAGTAATTGCCTTAAAATGATGGTGAGGCCCTCATACATACTCATGTATGACAAGAAATATGCCAAAATGTTAGCACATGTTAACTCCATGTGGTAGAAATATGGCTTCTTTTTTTTTATATTTTAATAATTTTTTTTATTGTTATGGTAACCACCATACATTACATCATTAGTTTTTGATGCAGTGTTCCATGATTCATTGTTTGTGCATAACACCCAGTGCTCCACGCAGAATGTGCCCTCTTTAATACCCATCACCAGGCTAACCCATCCCCCCACCCCCCTCCCCTCTAGAACCCTCAGTTTGTTTTTCAGAGTCCATCGTCTCTAATGGTTCGTCTCCCCCTCCGACTTACTCCCCTTCATTCTTCCCCTCCTGCTATCTTCTTCTTCTTCTTCTTTTTTCTCTTAACATATATTGCATAGAAATATGGCTTCTTAAATAGAAGAAACCCTCAACATCCATGCTTTTGTAATCAAAGAGTGGTAGAAATTAATAACATCAATCAGAGGACAACAGGAGCTTGACAATTTAATATGTACTGTTACATTAATAGGATGTTCGAATAGTAAACTCTCCATTAACTAAGGCTGTTCCTCTTAGTAGTTATTATAAAATATGTAATATTTATCAATAATATATACTAATAATATAATTAGTGCCACAAATATAATTAATAAAAGAGTAAAGCTAAAGTAAAAGAATGAAGAGCAGTCAAGGATAAAAAAACAGTAAGAATGGTTAGGGAGAGGAAACCCAATAGGCTGAGCTTCCAACTTGGAGGCAGGAAGTATTTAATGAATTATGTAAAGAATTATAGATTCCCAGTAACACGTATTGAATGATCCCATCATAATTAGATGGTATCATAATTATCAGCTTATGAAGTGAACCGCTACAAGCAGAACTAAAGATTCAAAAACATTACCAAAGTTAGCACTCGAGAACACATTGCAGGAAACAATTATGTGTTAGCTGAAGACTGGACAAAATTATCTAATTGGACCTCCTCTCCCAATCCCCTGGATTCTCCCCCCAAGTTATATTTCAGGATGATTTATGCCTCCAGTGCACTTGGCAGAGATGATCATAATTCAACTCTTAATTCTTCGCTACCAAGAAGCAATGAAGACATTAAGCAATGGAAGGTGACAGCAACTTACTGGAAAGGAAGTGCTGGGATGCCGGCCCAAAGTCCCTGTGGGCTTCGTGCAGCTGCCTGATGCGGTCCTCAACGGCCACCTGGGAGGAAGAGGAGAGAAATGATGTTCTCTCATCACATATAATGAGCAATTAAAACAATGTACCCTTTTTGGTAAGATCTTTCGGGCCTCAAAAGCTGGAACACTAAAGCAACAATTTATAACCCTGGTTTTAATATCCGCTTACCATAGATGGCCTCCGAGACCCATTTTTATCAAATTGAGGCCAAACAAAAAAGATTTGCTTTCTTGATAATGTTATAATGAGATTTTTTTTCACACTCTACTCATTGGCAGACACAAATGAACTACTGCTCCAATGAGTACCATCAAAAATGCAAACGCTAAATCTTTCATGCAAAGGTTAGGGAGATTGTCATTCCCTGTTATATGTCATAGCTAAAGGAGCTCAGAAAGGCCATATATTTTGTCTTAGTCTGTTGTTTTTGACTCATGTTTTTTGGAATCCTATTGATGATTGATGGATCACTGAGTGATAATTAACAAGTAGGTTGATTAATACTCAAATATCTAAGAAGTAGAGGCAAGGCTTAAACGTAGGGGAGAAAATGAGAAAAAAGAAAATTTCAGATTTCAGTTTTTAGTAGACTTGAAAAGTGTATCTTTAGGTGGCATGAAATAAAAAGTACCACTCTTTTTTTCCTATTAGGTTTCTCTGTAATACATTGGCGGTGTCCTGATAGCTTAGTGAATTCCATTCTGGGTGGGGGGAAAAGGAAGAATTTTACAGGCAAAATGGTACACTTTGCCATCTGGCATTCTGCCAACTGGATATTAATGGTGGCCCCAGGTCTGTAGGCTCCGTAAATCTGGATCTTAATTTGGTTCTGAAAGGCCCATGCTAAACAAGGGGTTGGTCGCTCTTGCCCAGAGCCAGTGGAGCTCGAGTGGGTTTGCTCCTATGGTGTGGGTAATTCCCAAGAGATAAAACAGGTATTAAATGGATCAGAAATCTGGCTCAGGTAGTCTGGTCTAAAGCTGACTCCGACCTTGCAGTATGGAGTCAAGGGCCTGACACAGATCGAGAACAATCTTCTTTTTTCATCTTCTTCTAGCCTTGCCCATCTTTGCTGGGACCAAATTATTTGGCAAAGCATGTGGAGTTCCAAAAAGGGCAGGATTTGCTTCACTGTTACACACACAAAAGCATGAAGAACACATCAAAACTCCCTTCCCAGTCGTATGACCCTGCATTACCGGCCAAACTCAACCTGCCCGTCCTGCCACATTGCATCCAATGTAACATTTGTCTGACTTGTTCTTGCTGCTCCTCCTCTCTAGAGTGCTCTTCTTTCCCTTCTCTTCCAGTTCAAGTCTTTTCTATGTTTATACGCTCCCCTCTCCAGTCCCCCAGGGTTAGGAGTGATTGCTTCCTCAACATCCTCACAGCACATAGTCTCTACTCAGAGCACTTCTATCGCACCATCTGTTTTAGTTGCAAGGACATGGGTATCTCCTACAATGCACTGTGGATTCCTTGATAGCCGGGACCATTTCTTGCTTACCTCTCTTCCCCTACGCTCCCCCTGGCAGGATGCCGTGAACCCTGCACACTCTAAGTGGTAACAAAGGTTTAATGACTAGTTGAGCAAACCAATGCGTATGTGTGACTGACAGACATAGACAGATCTGGGAGAATAAACCAGAATGTGTACTGACACTGACTGCACGCTGCACGCCCCTGGGTATATCGTTCTAATGTTAACTTTCCTTATCCATAAAATGGGACAACAATATGATATACCTCATAGAATTGTTGTGGGAAATAGCTAAGACATGTGAAGTGTTTGGCCTGCTTTCTTTCAAATGGTGATTACTCAATGAATGTTAGCAACTACTGTTTTGTTGCTTTATGATTAACATATGGAGAGGAATAGGTTATTGCAGGCAAGGCAATACATGCGACACAAAAAATGGCTAATATATATATATATTTAAGATTTATTTATTTGAGAGAGAGTGTGTGCATGAGTGGGAGGAGGGGCAGAGAGAGAGAGGGAGAGAGAGAATCTCAAGCAGACTCCCTGCTGACAGTGGAGCCTGATGTGGGGCTTGATCTGAGATCATGACCTGGGCCGAAACCAAGAGTCAGATGCTCAACCGACTGCGCCACCCAGGCGCCCCCCCAAAATGGTTAAAATTTATTAAGTACTCCGTTAATGGCAATATGAATTAACTTATTTAAGTTTCACAGTAACTCAGTGGTAAGAAGTCATAGTATCTGCCCACTTCGCTGATGTAGGAACTAAAACATGAGAGGTTAAAAAACAACAACAACAAAATTTGACTAACTTTAAATAGCAAACTGGCAGAGCCAGGATTCAAATTCATTCTGGCTCTTGGTCTTAACTGCTATTTTAAGGATTAAAGTTGAAGGCAAGTATTTTATCCATATTTAATCTGCAGCTGGTCTTCCCATTTATCGAACGCAGAACAAATCTGGCGTCCACATCTATGAAAGTTTAGTCGTTGGTATATTTTATGATCTAATGCAAGGTCAGTTCCTGGTCATGAAGAAGGTGATGCCATAAGATTATAGAGAACACATGCAAATGAATGTTTGGAATACATAATTGTTTCTAAATGCAGAATGGGTCATTTCATGAACAAATTAATCAAGAGATGATTGTGAACGTTTGGGGGTGATAAAGGAGCATGACCGTGTCACGGGCCCTGTCGCCTGGCAGTGATGTTGGTAGATTCAGAGCGACCAGGTGGAGGCAGCATCTGAGTCCATCAGAGGCCACGCATCTCTAAGGGCGCTTTCTTCTTATATGAGGAGATCTCCAGAGGTAGTTTCCAGCGTACACCCAATAATGTCAAGAAATGAAAAGGAGACAGAAGTGAATTCCCATCCCTATAACTCAAAGTTAAGAAAACGCATGAGAGAGACTGAAATTAAAAATGTGTCACGAAATGAAATGAAACATTCAGGCAACAGTCTTAACATAACGAAAGAATTAAGCATAAAATATTTCTTTTCACAGATTATCTTTGGATTGAATGCACAGGTGAGTAAACAAAGACATCATTTTCAGAAAGAGAAAAACTTTGAAGGCACAGTGTAGCTACCAAAGAACAAAGGCACTTTATTCTGTGAGCAATTAGGCAAGGAAATGAAGTTTGATAAACTTTTGTAACAATAAGCACCATGTATCAGACCTTTCTAACTGGCCGTGTTTTGAACCAATATCAAGTACCATATACAGACCAGGGAGCAAAAGCCACAAATGATACACTAGCACTTGCATTCTGGCATAATTCCTTCTTTACTCGGTTAATTCTCTGTTCTTTTGACAAGCATTCGTTAAACCCGAAACAGACACGCAAGGAGCAGACGCTAGAGTCTCTGGTCCTTGGCCACACAGAGGTTTGGAGGTGAGGAAGAGGGACAGGCCGAGGAAAGGCCTGGGGCAGAACGCGGCTGTTGCCGAGGATGGTGAGGTACAGTGAGCTAGGTGTCTCGGAAGCAGAGATCCACAGCAAGGCATTCCAGACTCTGAGGCTCGAGATTTCCCTGGCAAGGCCAAGGGAACCAGGGAAGATTTCAGCACAGGGACTCAGGATTTGAGAAAGCAGTGCAGGTTTAGGCAGTTGGGTCTGTCAGCAAGGCCTGAGACACAGATTCAAGAGGGACCTGGAGACTGTTGTTATCACCTAGGTGTGGGGTGACAGGTGTTGCAATTAAGACTGTGTGGCCTGGAGTGGGAGAGAAGGTGCAGATGAGGAGGTATTTTGAAAGAAGGAAGAACTGATTAATTTTGGGGTTGGAGCTTCATTTTGGAAGAAGCAAACAGAACTCATCTATTTCCAGTCTGGAAGACTGGGAGGGTAAGGATGTTGCTGATGGAAATTCCAAAGGAGGGGGGGATGGCATATGGCTGGATGAATTCATAGGGAACATGATGCATTTGACCTAACAGTGAGATTTTAACTGGAGGTGTTGAGTAGGGCCAGTTGGAGATGAGCAATTTGTCTCAGTCATTAAAGGAAGGCAAGGCAAGTGAGACTAAAAGGGGTAGGATGGAGTATTAGAAGGTGAGCAGGGTAGGAAGAGCCAAAGGAGTAGAACTAGAATTCTTCAAAGAGATAGGAAGAACCCACTTTCTTCTGAATTAACAGGCAATACCTCTGTTTCCTTTTTTTTTTTTTAAAAAGATTTATTTATTTTAGAGAGGGGGGAGGGGCAGAGGGAAAGGGAGAGAGAATACTCAGACTCCCCACTGAGCATGGAGCCTGACATGGGGCTCGATCCCATGACCCCAAGATCATGGCCTAGGCTGAAATGAAGAGTTGGCCGCTTTACTGACTGAGCGCCCCCCCCAGGCACCCCGACCTCTGTTTCCTTTTATAAAAAGAAATACAAGTTTAACATCTTTTGGGGAAGCATACATCCTGTTTCTACTATTAGATCATGGATCACGAAAGCTTGGAACTGGAAGAATCCTTATCTACTGATACACAAGGGTCTATTCTTTAGAACTATCCCAGATGGGCAAAAAACTACCATCTGCTCCTTGAGTACTCATAATCTAGTTTGCAGTATTCCTCAGTAAAGAATGTCAGAGAAAATTGAAAAAGGTCTTTTTTTTTTTTTTTAATACGCTCCGTGAGGACAGGGACACATCTTTCTTTCCCTACTATATCCCCGCTGACTAGCACAGTACCTGGCATATAGCAGATACTCTAATTATTAGTTGAATGAATTAATGTACTGTTTATTCAAGAAGTGTCACCCGAACAACTGCATTTTGCATGAAGAATTCCCTATTGTGTGATTCTCGGCACAATTTTTGCAAAGACCTGCCTTCCCCCTCACCTCCCTCCCTCCCTCCTTTCTTTCCTTCCTTCTTGATGATCAAAGTTTAAAAAAAAATCATTTCGATTTATTGGGCCTACAATACCAGACTCAAACAATTTTAAAGTAATAATGTGCAAGGCAAAGCAAGAGCCCAAATCTCCTTCCTGTTTGTTTTGTTCTAATTTTTAAACAATCATATTTGAGAGCTACAAGGACTA